ATTTGAATGTTAACGTGGCTGAATATTTTCTTACTCAGCTCTGTCACTCTCAAGACTAAACAAATATAAAATTTTATAGTCAATAAACCTGAAAATGAAAAGTGTTATTTCATCCTATAGATCAATAGATTATCCAGCTCACAGAGCATCATTTCCAAACAGTCTATGAAGAAAAGTATTAATGATTATAAATAAGTCCAAGTGGGCAAGGGCTGCCCCAGGCCCTGGCCTTTCAGTTTTGTGTAAATCTCAGAATGGCTGACTGAGTCTCTTCAGGCATTTATCCAGAGACACCTCTGTGATGAAAGCTAGAAATACTTGGAACAGCTAAGATAAGGTGCCATAAAATTTCACCTAAATGCAGCTAGATGTCCATCAATGGCCAGAATAAAAATGAGGACATCAGTTGGGTATAATCTATCATACTAGCAAGAGAATACATACACTTCCAATTTATGTAAAATTCTACGCTTTTCCTCCATCTTCTCATTTTGCAGTATAAGGTTAAGTAGTTATGTACTAGTACTCAATTACATAGAAGTTGAAGGCATGCTAATGAATAAATTTCACAGTGCAATGCCAAGAGTTATTATTTGTCTTGGTAAATTCCAGAATTTTAAATGGTGCTTTTGAAGATGAGGAAAGAAGCAGATGGGTATTACTTAGTGTAAGGAGAAACAACTGAAAAAAATTAGCATAGACTAAAGATCAGGTTCCAGTGCTGGATCAGGAAGACTTTCTAAGGATCTTCCAAGTTTAGTCTTCTCATATAACAGGGCTAAAGCTTTCTCGTTCACTGCTGAGGATGCCATTCTGCTCCTGCCTGCCTCAGAATCCCCCACCTCCGATAGCCCATGAGGGAGACTGATATGTTTGACAGCATGAAAACAAGCCAAGGGGTCAACCAATAAGAGAGAAGAGAAGCTTGACTCTGTGTGTAGGCAAGCCTTGGGTTTTAGAGAACTGTAAAGATGATGATACTAAAACACAAGACCAAGCAGAAACCCTAGCCGTTTAGGAAAAAAAAGATAAGTAGGTTAAATTCCATGTGGCAAATATGTGTATGTGGAGATTAGTATTTTATTCTTTTTGTTTCTTCCCATCCCTTTCTATACTTGCTTGGCATAGAGGCTATCAAGTTCCAAAAATACAATTTCATTGGTGTCTTTTATTGTAATATTGACAGTTTTATTATGATATTTATGGACTTGATCAAAAAGCTTGTAATTTAATTTTTATTAAAATCTAAAAATATTTAAAAGTAAATTATACTAGCATATTAAAAGCTATTACATATATTTAAAAGGATTGAGTGTGCAGAATTAAATTTTAAAGAACTATTATCTATAATATCTTTATATAAGCTTAGAGTAATAATGACATTTAATTTCAACTTGAATGCCTATCATGATATGTGCACGTGTCCAGCTAGGAATTCCTTCTCACCCTTGAATTTGTTGTATCCTCCAGGAAGGCTCTATGGCCCTCTTCTAGCTTGAACTAGGCAATATCAAGTCTCATTAGTTTTACCATACCATAATTACAAAATATACTGGTTCTAGCCCTGATCTCTCTTCTAAACTGCTAATCAATGTTTTTAATTCCTTAAAAGACATCCTAATCTGGATTATCTTGCAGATACCTCAGATTTTTATACATTCTTGATATCAGTCATGATATTAATCAAGATATATGATTTCCAAATAATTTCTCCCATTCTGTGTGTTGTCTTTTCACTTTCTTGATGGTTTCTTTGAAGCTCAGAAATGTTTAATTTTGATGAAGTCCAGTGTATCTATTTATTTTTTTCCACTTGGGAGATAAGAAACCATTGCCTAAGCCAATTTTACAAAACCTGACTCCAAGGCTGGAGCCAAGTGCCCTTTCTATGAGCTCCTAATAGCACCCACCACAGATCTTAATCATCCTGTACTTCCATTGTCTGATAACCTGCCTGTCATCCCTACTGGGATCCTTGAGAGTAGGCTGTGACTGACATCCCTGTGTATTCAGAGCCCAGTGGGCACCTGGCAGGAAGGAGTCTCCTGTAGATGCTGGCTGGGCAACAGGTAGAGTGTGTCAAGGGATCAGAACTTGGGTCACCTGGGACAGAGAACCAGACCCAGAAAATAAAGACGTTATGGTCGTGTCTAGTGGAGACCAAGCAGTCAAAAGTTCTGTGTTATTTCCACTTTGATGTTGACATGTTCTTAGAGATTTGTGTTTGGGCTTTGTTCTCTTATCACAGGTCTGCTGAGTATAAAGTAAATAGAAATGCAAACAAGAGTTAAGCACGGGTTTGTGTTGATAATTTGGATTCTCCACCATATTCCCAATTGGTTTCTCCTTTTTTTTTTTTTTTTTGCGGTACGCAGGCCTCTCACTGTTGTGGCCTCTCCCGTTGCGGAGCACAGGCTCCGGACACGCAGGCCCAGAGGCCATGGCTCACGGGCCCAGCCGCTCCGCGGCATGTGGGATCTTCCCGGACCGGGGCACAAACCCGTGTCCCCTGCATCAGCAGGCGGACTCTCAACCACTGCGCCATCAGGGAAGCCCTGGTTTCTCCTTTTCACTCTGACCCTACAGCCTTTAACACTAGCTAACACTTACAGAGAGAGGGCTTACCATGTGCAAGGTGCTGTCTGAAACACTGTAGCATGTATGAGATCATTTAATCCTCAAAACAATACCAAGAATTGGGTTCTAGTAGTATCTCTGTTTTACAGAGGTGGAAAGTGGGGTCCAGAGAGTAGATAAGTTACATGTCCAAGGTCACACAGCTAGTGTGTGAGATTGCCAGCACTGAATGCTGGGCCGCTGAGGTCCAGCATCTGGGTTCTTCCTGTGCTTTGCTCTTTGCTCCATAGGATATAAATGGACCACTTTTTAGATATTCCTTCGGCGTTGAGGTGTATACATGAAGAAATGTGCTTGTGAATGGTATGTTCCATTAGCAACCTGAGATCAGGTCTAAGGGCAAGGCAGTTGATGTTTGCCTCAAATCCACAGAATGGCTCTTAGGGGAGATAGGCTATGACAGACATACAGGTCAAGGTCCTGCTCACAAGGAGAAATAAATACCCTATGGGCCAAGAGACTACATTTTTACCTCTAAAACTTCCAACTTGATTTGGATATCATATTCATGGCCCATGGACAAGTGAAAACTACCATGACTGTATGAAATGATTATCCATCAGAAGATACATACAAGGCCAGATATAGGAGACCAGACCCTCCTATCACTTAGGCCACTTGACCAGAAGCCGAGACTCACACACCTGCTGAAACAATCGAAGTGTTTGTGTCATCATGATGGGATTTCAGGGACTTTTTCTTTATTTTCCAGTATTTTAGAATTATGGCTCTTACAATTATGGCTCTTACGGAAGAAAATAAATTGGAATTAAAGAACAAGAAATGTGTCCTCAGTAGAATGGAGTAGCAAATTGTCATAAAGTCTTTTTAGGGGACTGACTGAGTGTTCCAACAACCTATGAGGACGGCTGCAACTTTCCTTGTAATCATGCAATCTCTGGCTTGTTTGGGATGAATATACGTAAAAATTTGTAGCATCTCATCATAGAAAAAGAAAAGGCATCATCTAAGAAATCAGTGGTTGTGTTTCAGAAATATCCCTAAAGCATAGACTTTGAAAACAACCAAAACCATCATCAACAACAAACCATTGGATTAGACTTGCAAACACTTCATTGAGCCATTTGCTCTGTTCTTTCTGTTCCTTCTTTTACGCTCTTACATGCTTGTCCTTCAGCAACATCCCTGCTACGTCTTTCTGTCTTTTACTGGCTTCTACTCTGATTCATGGGCTTTTACTGTCAGTTTTTCTCCAAGTGTAAGACTGTCTTCATTCAGTCTTCTTTCCCTCAGGAAGCAAAGGCACTCTCAAAAGTTCAAAACTGACCACAGTAGAAACACTTCCAAAATCTGTTTCTCCAGGCCCAGGTCCCTTCCTCTATGTGCATCTCCAGAGGAACACGTGCTGTGATGCCTCACCAGCATCTCAGATTCAAACAGAAATCAACCCAGTGCATTCAAACCACCTCCCTATCCTATTGTCAATTGCTTTCCACTGCTTATGAAAAACCATCAGTGCTCCTTAATGTAACACTCAGGCCCCCACGATCAGATTCTATTCTCATCTCTTTCTCTGTTTCCCAGCAAGATCCATGGACCCAGCAACACTGACCCTTGAGACAGACTGGGAATGAGATAGAGCTGGGGTCAAATCCTGACTCCTCCACGTACATGCTCTGTGACCTGGGGATAGCTTTGCAGCCCCTCTGAACCTCATATATCAAATGTGAATGGAAATAATAGTACCCACCTCATAGGTGTGTTGGGATAAGGGCATGTGATAACATGGGGCAGACTTGGCAAAATGCCTGGCACTGAGTAGCACTTTATAAATAGTAGCTATTATTATTAATAATAAGCATTTAACACCTCCTCTGTGCATAGCTCTGTTCTAGAACTTTTGCTGGAAAATTTATATTCTGCTTCACTGTCCTTGGTCACAAAGTAGGGATGGCCCATTTCTCACCTCTGTGCCAAATTCAGTCTCCAATTCTTTCTCACTGGGACGTCGTAAGCGCCTGGGCCGAGGGGTGGGAATTTCCTGCAGCAACGCACTTTCTGCTTTGGACTAAAAAGCCGAACAGAAAATTATTGCTACATCACGTCAGTGATGCTATGAAAATCTTGGTCACCATCTTAGGAGAAAATAAATCAGTAAAAAATACACGTTATACTTCTTTAAGAGATAAGAACAAAGATTTAGAAAAAGGATGTTAAATTCTTAAGTATAGTTTTCATCTGTGCCAATATTAAATACTGCATTAACATTTAGAACATGAAAAACAAATTTAACGGTATTCAAATCCATGCAGTTTTGAGCAAACAAAGCAAGCTAGACAAGACCAGAAGCATTGCAGTCAGCACCGAACAAAATATTCCTGTGGTTTCTCTCACCCTTGCAGCTTGTAATTTCTCCCTCATGCGTTCTCTCATGGAAAATTCTGCAAAGCCTGTTCTGGAAGCTGAAGGAATTGGAGGTAAGCCTAAAACAATACAAGAAAATTACTTTAAAACATTTTTTTTTTTCAAAGGGAAGATTAGATTGAAAAATGGCAAGAGAATGTAATTTTATTTTGCAAATTTAGAACTTCACATAAGCAATCATGAGATAATGCTGATAACCATCCATTTGATGTAATAAGGACATGTCTTGGCTTCTTTAAGATGGACAGTGAAAACCTCGGTCCTATCAAGGCTGTTACATCGACTTAACTAAGAATAAAACGAATGACATTTGACTATTCAAGGCACAGACACACTTACCAATTCAATTACCATTGGGAAGAGGTTCTCGAATTTGTTGATTTGAGAAACAGGCTTGTTGGATGAATGGATGGCTATTGATTTCAGAGTTCAACTTTCAACAGCACTGATAACTTCAGTCAGAGAAACCTTTTCTATGAGAGGTTCTATAGCCCTGGGATATCCCATACAGACAACACATATTTTGTACATATTATTAAACCTATACATAAATATCATGAAATGTTGTTCAGCTATTTTGTGTCGGGCTCTGTGATAATGTGTTGAATGCATCTTCTCGTCAATCTTATGCCATCCCTGCTAGGAGGGATCACCTGGCACCTTGAAGATGAAGACTCTGAGGCCCTCTGTGATAACTGACTGGCATGGCGATTGCACACCTAGGAAGTGGAATGCTTGGGATTTGGTCCCAAATGCTCTACACCATTATGAAAGAGGTGGAAATAGAACAAAGCATTTGGGGAACAGAATGTTATGCTTGGAGCAGAGAGGCTGTACTGGGATGAAGTAGAAGATAAGATTGCAGAAGGAGTTTGGGGTGAAGTCATGGGGAGCCTCTGATGTCACATGAAGGAGTCTGGAATATATTCTCCATGAGGTGGGGATGTCTTGAAGGATGTGGAGAGAGGAGGAAGTGAAGCAGCATTTTCTGAGCTGTTCCTGGGTCTGCAGGTACAGCATGGTTGGGGTGGAGGCACCAGGGACCCCAGCTGGGATACCCTGGTGAGATAATAAAGAGGGAGTCTGTGGGAATAACTGCGAAGACGCCACAAGAAAAATGATACAGTTGTCCCTAGTGACGATGGCGAGTAGGGCACTAGTTCTCCCAGCAGTAGCAGCATGTTCTGGGCACTTGGTGGATGGGCAAACACTCAGGCCAGACAGACTCGGTGAATCAGAACCTGGAGGTGGAGCCACCATCTGGGTGATTTAAAGACACACTCAAGTTGGAGGACCCCCGGCTTAGAGCAAGAAAGAGAAGGTGAAGGTGTCTGAGGTTTTGACTGAGGTGAGTAGGGGTTTGGGGTTCCTGAGAAAGAGAAAAGAGGAGGGAAGCCAGTCTGGGAGATACTGAAGGGGGTCACTTTGCAGCTGGAATGAGTCTGAGGTGCTGGCAGGATATGGAAATGTGTGCTTGTCCTGCACCTGAGCTCCGGGAAGGGGTCCAGGCCCCAAGATGAAGACTTAGGAAGCGTTTCTACCGTGGTGATGTTAACGTTTTGAGAAAACCTTTCCCGAAGGAGAGAGTGCAGAGAGAGGAGGCTTCTGACCCTGTAGCCATTGGCACTGTTAAGGGACGAAGGCTAAAAAATGAAAGAAATAGAGAAGGCAAGATGATTTATTAGCAGGTGGAAGGAACTGTGGCAGAGAGAGGAAGTGATGACGGGCAGAGGCCACTGTGCTGGCCCTTCGGCCTCTGCTTATGCAGAAAAGTGATCCTGGGCTTTGGAGCTATTTCTGCAACTTGGCCACTCAGTGCTGAGGCTGGGCTTCCTTCCTTCTGTGTGATAGAGAGATGAAAAATCCTACTTTATCAGGCACCAATCATGCCATTTCCTCAATGTCTGTAGGAAAGCATGAAATAATTGTAGTGAAGATCACAGTTTTGCATGTGTGGATTGAGGTTCAAGTTCTTTAGAAAAATCTCCATTAGCTCGATAAAAAGGGCTTTGGCATTGTTTTTCAACTCACGTAAGAAATCAAGTCATTATTTCCTATTTTAAAGATCATCTACCCATGGTAGATCATATCCCCATGTCAAAGTCCCAAGACTTGTCCTGTATTGCGTTTGTCACATTTTGAATTTATATATTTGTGTGGTTATTTGATTAGTACCTCCTTCCTCTCCCAGGTTCTATGGTTTTCAGCCACAAAGGGCGGGCACAGGTAAGTGTCACTAAGTGTGTGTGGACCACCTAGGCTGATAAAGAAGGGCTTCTAGACTGGACCCCCTGGGGCTTGCCCATCCTGTCCTCTGGCTGATCACTCTCTTTGCTTCTGTCTCTAGAGAGCTGCCCTTTCATAGTTAAAAGGCATGCTTTTGAACGTGAAAAAAATCTTGTTTATTTACTCCCCTTCCCCCTGCTTTTTTTTAAAGAGATCTAGTTTTTCAAATTGACTTAAAATAGCTATTGTGTACATGGAGCTCATTAGAATAATTTAATGAATTATTCTTTAAAAGAGAGACAAGATATTTTATTTAAACACTATCTCTTCTGACTAAAGAAACCAAAGGGGATTCTTTAGTACGTATTAGTTTTAAAAAACTTGAAAAATTCTGAAGTGGTGAAAAGTAGTTCTTGTCTGAGTTTTTCAAAACTCTGTGTTAGTGAAAGGCATTTGGAGGGCATAAAGATTTCCAAATCTGATCTGTACAACTAGGTGGTGAGATGTTATTTTCCCAGCTAGAATGTGACCTGCTTGAGGGCAAGGACCATGTTGGTGACTTTTGAACCTGGCACCTTGTAGCACTATATCAATAAAGGAAAACACATGGAGGAACCATGAGGGTGTGAGAGATATTATACTTAAAGAGGGATTTCAAACAAAATAAATGTAATCCTCATTTGGATGAAATCAGATGATGACAACTTTTTTCTTTTTAAGGTAACATTACTACCATGATAACCATGGAAACCAAGTGCACTAATTCACTCCCTTTGACCTAATAACTAATAGGGCTTAGGGACTTTCATTTTTATGTTGGTAGTCCATGGCAAACAGAGTGTCTTTAAACAGCTAGAAACACGAAGACAATCCTCGTAAGACATTTTTCCGTCTTATTGTCAGTTACTCCACTACATGACTGATAAGCTACGTGGTCCCAGACTGACTCTATTTGTCTTTCCCTGGGGCTAAGAAGTGATGTGCCAAACTTGAAAAAGGGTGTGATTTCACATTTACTAAACAGGCTCTGTGACACAGCTAAGAAAATCTGGCATGCATAAAGTTTCCACAGTATCCAAGAGTGCAATGAAAATAATTTTTTAAATTTTTAAAGATTTGAGTGGAGGACATGCAAGAAGTTATGGGTAATGAGAGAATTTCAAGACATTCCATTAAAAATATATACATAATGTCCATTAGTATGAAATATGGATTTCCTTGGCCATGGGATGTTTTTCATCAGAGGCAGCAGGGATTACAAATTCAGCAACACTGCACTGGCTGCTCAGTAAACCCGTGAATCCCAAAGCTTCATTAGCCTCGTGCTGCTTCCAGATCTTCTCCGTGCTGTCACCTTTTCCTGTCACCCATACTCCCTGCACCCTATTTCTCTCTCCTTACGGACTGCATCACAAGTTGGACATGTTCCATTTTTCTTTAAACCACTTCCATTATACGTGACCCCTCAGAAAACAAAGTCTTCACTCCACCATCTGGAAGTGCTCCCCTCTTTCCCTTACTTTTGCAGACATTCCCACACATCTTGATAGACCATTTGTTCTGTGAATCACACTGCCCAGACCAGAGCTCTCTGTATACATTGGGATGTACAAGGACTTTCCAAGGACTTGACATAAAATTTGAAATGCAGTTCAGCCAGCCCTCTGTGTCCATGGGTTCTGCATCTGCTGATTCAACCAGGCACGGATAGAAAATGTTTAGAAAGAATTCCAGAAAGTTCCAAAAAGCAAGACTTGAATTTGCTGCAAACCAGCAACTATTTACATAACATTGACATTGTATTAGGTATTATAAATAATCAAGACATCATTTAAAGTATACAGGATGATGTATGTAGGTTATACGCAAATTCTATGCCATTTTATATAAGGGACCTGAGCATCGATGGATTTTGATATCCACAGGGCGGGATGGGGCGGGGAGTGGTCCTGGAACCAATCCCTGTGGATACTGAGGAATGACTAAGTTGGTTGGATTTGAGTTGGTACTATCTGAATTCACAGATTGTCAAATAGGAGAGTGTGCCTACGATTCTTGGTTAATTACCTCACTCTTCTACCGTTCTATTCTAAAGAATATGCTACTGAAAGCTTTTATTTATTTTACTTCTTATGATTAATATATATTGAAGAAATTTTACAGTACCTTTATGTCTTCATCAGTTGTGCATTGATATTGATAATAAATAACTCAATCAAAAATTCAACTTGTTAAGATGGTGAGCAGTGAAGACTTTTTTTTAAAGCTATTTTTTTATTATCTATTTTATACATATTTGTTTATATATGTCAATCCCAATCTCCCAATTCATCCCACCACCACCACTTTCCCCCTTTGGTGTCCATACGTTTGTTCTCTACATCTGTGTCTCTATTTCTGCCTTGCAAACCGGTTCATCTGTACCATTTATCCAGATTCCACATTATATGCGTTTAATATACAATATTCGTTTTTCTCTCTCTGACTTACTTCACTCTGTGTGACAGTCTCTAGGTCCATCCACGTCTCTACAAATGACCCAATCACGTTCCTTTTCATGGCTGAGGAATATTCCATTGTATATATGTACCACATCTTCTTTTTCCATTCGTCTGTCGATGGGCAGACGAATTTATGCTGCTTCCATGACCTGGCTATTGTAAATACTTCTTCAATGAACACTGGGATGCATGTGTATTTTTGAATTATGGTTTTCTCTGGGGGTATATGCCCAGTAGTGGGATTGCTGGGTCATATGGTAATTCTATTTTTAGCCTTTTAAGGAACCTCCATACTGTTCTCCAAAGCGGCTGTATCAATTTACATTCCCACCAACAGTGCAAGAGGGTTCCCTTTTCTCCACACCCTCTCCAGCATTTGTTGTTTGTAGATTTTCTGATGCCCATTCTAATCGGTGTGAGGTGATACCTCATTGCAGTTTTGATTTGCATTTCTCTACTAATTAGTGATGTTGAGCAGCTTTTAATGTGTCTCATGGCCATCTGCATGTCTTCTTTGGAGAAATGTCTATTTAAGTCTTCTGCCCATTTTTTGATTGGGTTGTTTGTTTTTTTAATATTGAGCTGCACGAGCTGTCTATATATTTTGGAGATTAATCCTTTGTCCATTGATTCGTTGGCAAATATTTTCTCCCATTCTGAGGGTTGTCTTTTTGTCTTGTTTATAGTTTCCTTTGCTGTGCAAAAGCTTTTAAGTTTCATTTGGTCCCATTTGTTTATTTTTGTTTTTATTTCCATTACTCTAGGAGGTGGGTCAAAAAAGATCTTGCTGTGATTTATGTCATAGAGTGTGCTGCCTATGTTTTCCTCTAAGAGTTTTATAGGGTCCAGTCTTATATTTCGGTCTTTAATCCATTTTGAGTTTATTTTTGTGTATGGTGTTAGGGAGTGTTCTAATTTCATTCTTTTACATGTAGCTGTCCAGTTTTCCCAACACCACTTATTGAAGAGACTGTCTTTTCTCCATTGTATATCCTTGCCTCCTTTGTCATATATTAGTTGACCATAGGTGTGTGGGTTTATCTCTGGGCTTTCTATCCTGCTCCATTGATCTATATTTCTGTTTTTGTGCCAGTACCATATTGTCTTGATTACTGTAGCCTTTGAGTATAGTCTGAAGTCAGGAAGTCTGATTCCTCCAGCTCTGTTTTTTGCCCTCAAGATTGCTTTGGCTATTTGGGGTCTTTTGTGTCTCCATACAAATTTTAAGATTTTTTCTAGTTCTGTAAAAAATGCCATTGGTAATTTGATAGGGATTGCATTGAATCTGTAGGTTACTTTGGGTAATATAGTCATTTTCACAATATTGATTCTTCCAATCCAAGAACATGGTATATTTCTCCATCTGTTTGTGTCATCTTTGATTGCTTTCAACAGTGTCTTATAGTTTTCTGAGTACAGGTCTTTTACCTCCTTAAGTAGGTTTATTCCAAGATATTTTATTCTTTTTGTTGCAGTGCTGAATGGATTGTTTCCCTGATTTCTCTTTCTGATCTTTCATTGTTAGTGTATAGGAATGCAAGAGATTTCTGTGCATTAATTTTGTATCCTGCAACTTTACCAAATTCATTGTTTAGCTCTAGTAGTTTTCTGGTGGCATCTTTAGGATTCTCTATGTATAGTATCAGGTCATCTGCAAACAGTGACAGTTTCACTTCTTTTCCAATTTGTATTCCTTTTATTTCTTTCTCTTCTCTGATTGCCGTGGCTAGGACTT